AAGAATCATAAAATTCAGGGACAGAGTTTACAGGCTCTCAGACAAAATTAACTTGTACTGAGAAGGCCTCTTCGGACATAAATGGCATCAACCAGGATGGTGTCTAGCAAATGGTTCTAAGTAAGATAAAACAAACATGGATGCCAGCTTTATTGCTTCCTTGTGGAAAGAAAGGAAGGATGCAAGCGCTCAGAATTCTCCTTACAGAGCAGAGGTGCAGTGCCACTTCACTGCTTCCCCTTCTATTCCCAAATCTTTGTATCTCAAAATACTTGAAAACCCCAACAGAAACAAGCTTGTTCTTTACAGCTCTTGTTTATGTGTGGACACATAGTGGACAAAGTTCAGAAAAATAGGTTTTAATTGCACATAGGTGGCTTAAAAATAAAAAATAAAGAATCACCACCTGTGTATGAACAAGACTAAATAGGCTTGTGTAGATGGAAATGGGCTGCTTCCTAACAGATTAAAACAAGAGTTTTCCACAAGGTGGAGGTATATAAGTTGCCTACACCTTCACACTATGTTTAACATATAAGAACAGAGGCTATGTAGCCATTTCTGGCTCAGCTGCCAAGAAAAGCCATAGGTCAAACAGGAATTAAACTAGTTTCGCTATGCTCTTTTGGAAGACGGTAGAAACAGGAACAGCTTGCACCCCTTGCCGTCTTTCTTCTGAATGCTCAGTATCAGTCCTCTGGTTGTTGGCTGGCACACAAGAAACGTGTCTCAGCCAGCAGGACCACATTGCCTTTTTGCAGTAAGAAAGAAAACATCTGGTAAGCAGAATCTGTAAGAAGTCAGGGGAAGAAAATGGAATATGAAAGTCTTTCTTATATTAGATCTTCTGCCTATCTGAAATATCAGCAGAAGGAGGAATACACATTGTCTACATAACCCACAACTCTGAGCAATCATCACTTGTCATGGAGTTTAAGCCACACAGGAAAGAACTTTATCTTGATACATGGGGTAGAAATTAAACTTATATACAAGCGCAGAGGTGTATTAAGAAATTATCCAGCATAGTAGTCATGGGTCTCTGAATCATAAAGTAAGTTAACAACACAAGTATGAGAAGTGATCCTTTTTTAGGCTATATATTTATTAGAAACAGTATTAATGTATGAATCCACCTTGGAAGAAAATAAGTGTCCTTGAGATGTTAGATTCTATCAGCTAAATTGAATGTCTGCATCAATGGCTCTCCCTAAAAGTCATAATTAGGTCATTAAAATATATTTAGAAAAATAGCCTGTAAAATAAAGTTAAAAAATACTCACCTTCATTTTATTTCATAGGTCACTGTTATACCATCTAATAAGATAATTAAAAACATGCAAGCAGCTGGTACTGAGGCTAAACAGATTAATGTAATAGTCTGTAGTCATATGTGCTGGCAAGGGGTTCACCTCTTTGGCGAGGAGAAGGTCAGCTGCCCTTGGGAAGGCAGGAGAAAGACAGTATTTCTACTTTGGAGTGGCACTGCATTGCAGATACTGAAACTAGAGACCCACACCTATTTTTCTTTTCCTTTTGGTGAAGTCCGTCCAATCTGCACATCCAGAAAAGGCTTTAACCATAGCAGTAAAATTATACAGTAGAGTGGAGCTTAAATATTTTCCTCAAGTTTCTTATGTTTTAAAGATGACAGTTACTATTTGTCTAAATCCTTGTTCAAATTTTTCTAATAGTGAACTTCAAATTTTGATGACATGGTTCTAGGAAATAATTTTCATAATTTCTTATTAGCAGAGCTTCTTCCCAAGTACACAAAGAATACTTCCATCAGAGCCTGAAGACCAACTAGAAAATTCTCTGTGACCTGACAGGATGTATTCACAAACTCACAGAGTATTTAGACATATGTGCCAGTCACATGTGCTTTTCACTTACATTACTCACAAACTTTATGACCTAAAGGGAAATTCTCACTATGTGAACATAAGCAGCATTAAATCTGTGCCATGATCGACAGAAGCAAGAGCCACAAACTCTAAGGTGACACCATCATAGTAAAAATAAAACCATACAACTAGTTCTGGAGCATTATAAATACATCAAAAGATAATGGTCTGACATCCTTCATTAATACATACACACTCATAGTCTTGTACTGGATAGTGTAAAATTGTCCTTTAAAATAGAAAGTGTTGGAATCAACTAACACCCCCTGCTCTGTGAACCAGAGCATTCACCACCATTGTGGTAAAAACAGTATGCTCTTAAGAACACTTTAATAGCAAAACACATTCACAGTCAAATATTTTTAAACTTTTGAGTTGCCTCTTCTCCTAAAGAAACTGTAATGAGCTGCTACTGGTAAAACATAAAGCAGCTTTTGTTTCAGTGAAATTCCAGTAGAATTTTGCATGTATTAGCATTCTGCAAGCATGACTTCTATAATGATCCAAAGATGCCTTTGCCTCTTTTAGGGCAAAAATTCACTAGCCAGTCTTTTTTAAATACAGTAGACCGAAACACACTGGGTAAACAAGACTATCATCAGTTTTACCAAATAACTAATTTACTGAAACACTATTCATTGACAGTATCCTAAAATAAGTCCAAATCTCTAATGAGTCCTTAAAGAAATAACAACCATTTACCATTGCTACCTTTCAAGGTAGTTTAGGATTAACTTTTCATCTTTCATAAGGTATGAGCTGCTCATTTTTACTTAACATGCAGCACAGAACTATAACTATCAACACAACATTCAACCCAACCAGCAAATTTACAGCCAGTCTCATTATATGATGGGAGTTACTTGCCACCGAGCAGAAAATATTCATTTCACACCTTAAACATTGTAATACTACTTAATAACAGTGCTAACTTGCCAACTATTAAAAGTCAGAGGTTTCTTTTATATATATGTGTATACACACACAGACATATATATACACACACACGGTAGTATCTTGCTTTATTATCTTGTCTCTAATTATCACAATAATAATCTGGCAGTGGTATATGGGACTGCTTTTAAAATATTAATTAACTTCAGTTTTGTAAGTTGGGCCGTAATCCTCTCTGACGGAATACAATTATTATTCAGTGGAAGTTGTAGCCAACGTCGAATTTATTGTCTGCACTTTGGACTAAGGAATATGGAGATACAAAGGCCAACTTTAACTTCCTCTTATTTGTGGAGCATTAAAGATGGCTGAGGATTCACTACAGTTTAGGCTGAACTGGTTTAGCACCCTGGACTGGCTCACTGAGAGCTGAGTGCCACTGGATGAGTGGAGAAGGGGTAGGAAGAAAGGATCGGACCCCAGCTTACACTCTCGTGGAACCAGAGCCTAGCTGAAGCTCGCTGCTTCTGCAAGTTTTACCTTGGCAGGTACAACAGCTGGGGCTCTTGAGTTAATGACTTTCAGGTATACGTATCCCGGAATTAATGGCAGAGCGAGCTCTCAACTCCTTCCTTTTGCTGATCTGGCTAAATTCTACCTTGCCTATTTTTCAGAGACTGCTTCATGGTCTCTGTATCTACATATGCTTCTCACCTAAAAATATGAAGATTATTCTGGGTGGTATTTTTGAGCTCTTCTTTTAACCTAGATAGTATGTTGCATATATTAGAGAACACAAATATGACAAGAAATTGAGTCAGGCAGAACCCTGAAATGGATCTGCTAACATATTTTTTTCTCAAAGTGAACATGCTAACGACCCTCAAACGGTTTTATATCATCACAAAGTAGGTTTCATTAGAGCAGACTTACTAGAATACAGAAAATCGGAAGGATTTCTAAATCAAACCTCCCCTGTCCCACTGTGTCCATGCAGACACACCTTTTTTTCCAACCTTGCTCTCAGTCCAGAAGCTTCCTCTGGGTGTTTGAATCGCAACAAACTCTTTGCTGTTCCCTCTAGGTCCTTATGAAAAGTCTTTCTTTTTAACATCCTCAAGACCAGGCTGTTTGCTCCCTGCTCTCCTCAGCAATCTCTCAGTCTCCAGCCTGCAACAGGTTCTCCAGGCGTTGGGTCCCTCCCTGCCACCCCACACCTGAAGGCTCCTCATGCCCAGCACAGCTCACTGCCTACAAGATGGTGAGATATTCCCCACCCAGCCGGCTGCAACCAGGACAAGGCAAACAGGCAGGTTCCTCCTGCCTGCCTGCCTACACCTCTTTGAAGTACAGACTCCAGAAGACTATAAACAAAACATGAAAAAGATGCCATCCATCATAGTTCAATAAATTAATCCAAAATAATCATGTGGTAAGCTTGTTTTATTTTACCACACTTAAGCATCAAAATCAGACGCAGTCATTCTGGTTAGCACAAGTCTTACTATTAATTTACCAGTCACAAGGACAAAGATTTAGCATTTGGAGCAGAGGCAGTATTTTACTGGCTGAAAGATGAAACTACACATCTGCTGATTACCTTTCTGTGCTTTCAAGTACAAGACACCCTCTGGTATGTACCCAAGCGAGACTCAAGCTCAGTGACAGGGCTGCAAGAAGTTGCTCAGCATCGCGTTTCTTTAACTGCTGTTTACTACCAACAGAATTGAAACATTATTTTCCCATCAGAAAAGCTCAAATTTAACAAATCCTAGCTTTAGGTTTTGACCTGAAGTAACAAGCAAATAGAGTTCCATGTGGTCCACAGATCCAGTTACTTTGGAGAAGATCAGAAAGGTGATCCCTGGTGAGTTAAATATTTCAACATTTAGCTTAGCTGGTATGAGTCTAGGTAGGAATTTCTACTTTATTGCATACTTTCGAGTAAAAAAAAAGCCAAAAAACAACCTTAAAAATATTTAGGCTTACAAACATCCTGTTCTTTTCTTTGTTAAGCATTTTGAACAGCTTTCTCAAAAAAATAATCATCCAGAAAACAACTTTTCACATCATTCCTTAATTAAAGATTGTACAATACTCTTAAAATATACAGACCTGTTATTTTGCTTTAAATAGATTATGCTGTTTATTATATACAAACTTTTTAAAATTAGGAAACAAACATAAAAAATTACCAACCTGTAAGAAAGAAATGTTCCATCAGAATCTGAGGTGTGGTGTGTGCTTCCATTTTCATTTGATCCTCCTAATACAAAAATAAAACACCTTTGTTATAAGACAAATGCTGATAATAACTTTAGTTTATGACAAAACTTAGATAGACAAGTCTCAACTTTACATCTTCAAATTCTTACAGCTGGCAAGAGAGACAAGTAACCTCCATGTTCAATTTGGAGTCTGAATGTTCTGGAAATCTGAGATTTAATTTCACTTGAAGTTTTGATTAAGGCCCTTCTCAACTTCTTAAACACAATTTTACTTGTATAAGGTTATAGAGATATACCATATAGTTTGATTTTACTAACATAAGTTAAAGAATGTAAAAGCTCATCTATTTTGTGAAGAATTTTGAGTTGACTATACGATAACAGATATTTTTTGCCATAGCATAAGCTCAAAGCTTCTCTGAAACTACCGAAGCAACATGTCTGCAAAGCATCTTGTTTTACATCCTGTGGGCTGTTCATACATAGAACAGAGACAGTCATAGAAACCAAGGATTACAAAGAAAACTTCCTCTCTATAATAACTACTTCTATTGAAGGACTGTTACAAGCCGGCAAGAATCATCTATTTTTGAAAGCAAATTTATTCATGTCCTGGTTTATAATATTTATTCTTGCCCAACCTGCCATTTAACTTGATAATTCCTCAATGCCCCTGTATATTTCCTTAAGTCATTTACAGATAGCATTGCGCACCTTTTGCGTCCTCTGTTCTGCTTACTGAAATCAAGTTCTTTCAGTCTTTTTCCTAAATGAGGCTCCCTATTCCCTGTTTTGTTTAAATCAGTCCTTCTTACACATGGAAAAGATGGGACAGGAGCTGTAGACAGCATACTAAAAGTTTAATCAGTTGATTCTTTGGACAGTGGTTTTCTTCTCTATCAAAAAAACCTTGCTCAATACAGTCTATAGTCACACCACACCATCTTGCAGTTTCACAGCCATCCCTAACCAGCACTCCTAGATGTTTAGTCTCCATTTTTATTTACAAAAAGAAGTTTGCAGTGTACAGTAAAAATTCTTGTCAGTACAATACTGTATTTCAGACTATTTTGTGCTGTTTCTAGTCCTCTTTTCCTCAGAAAGGACCAGTCCTACCCGAATACTCTATTTGTGCTTGTGCCGGATAGTACCGTCTAAATTTCTTCATAAAAGTCCATCAGTGCAGTCTCTCACTTTGTGGCAAGATGACAAATGAAAATATTGGATAAGATCAGTTCCACCACAAACTCCACTAAAAATAATTCCTTCATTAAAATCTGCACTTCTCTATTAGTCTTATAATTACTATACTTCACTAATCCCCATCCCTTCTATTTCATAATAACTCCTGTGGCACTACATCAGATGGTTTACTGAGGTCCAGATAGACTTAATGTATTTCCTTAATGTATATTTTGAAAGGCTAGCAGTTTAGTTGGGCACGATCTCCCATTTAACAAAACACCTGCACTAAAAGTTATGCAATTTGCTTTTCTTCTCTCTCTTACTTCTTCCTTAAAAACTTTTCTAAAGCCCTGCACAGATAATAGTCAACCTATATAGCCACTTTGCTATCACTTTTTTTTCTCTTAATCTAAATACAGGTACTACATTGCCCCTCCTTCAAATATATGCGATCAGCCATGAACTAAAAGACTAAAAAATTGTTCCATGCAGCAGTTTTTGTCAGTATTCTTGAAAGTCATCTACTCTGCAAGTCAGATGCTTTAATCTTCATTGGATGTGCTAATTTAAAATATCTACCCAACACTCCCTTTTATTTTATTTATTTATTTCCAGGCCTTTGCCTGAAATTTTATTTTTACTGAAAACTAAAACTTTTCCAGTTTAGACCATACCTGGATTACATTTAATATAATTTGTCCATTTGCACTGCACAATGGTTCTAGTTTTCTTCCCCAGGAAGCTTCTTTACATATTCAAGTAATATTTTCTTGTTAATTTGAATTCCCTTCTTATGATCTAATTCAACTTAACTTTTGCTAATTACCACTATAACCCCACACTTTCTGATATCCAGGAGGAAGTATTCTTTGCAGATCAAGCTGTTTTCCTGTTTCTGTCAGGATCTTTGCTTACTCCAGACATTCCTTAAAAATACTTAATCATTCACTTTGGCACAGAACTTTCCTTCCAAGTGTTTTTTCTCATCTCATTTGGAATGCATATTTTTTTATTAACTTTTGCACCTTTGTCTAAAATAAATCCCAAACCTCCTCTACATTTTAGTCTAAAATCGCTCAGTCCAGTTGATTTCACTAATTAGCTCTCTCAATTTATTTTGAAAATGGAAATCCTACTTAATCAATCTGCTTTTTGTTTACTAAATTTAACTAAATTAACAACACCAGATATTTCATCCAGGAGCCGACCCTCCCGTTATTAATAACCATCTGTTCCGTATTTTCTTGTATCTTGGAAAATAGTCTCCCATATTGGGACAATTTTAAGTAATACGCTTTTTCATATATTACCCATCTCTGCATCTGATCCTGAGCATTCAGAGAAATGACTGAACTATGTTCAGTCTCTTTTAAAGCCGTATGACTAGGTGGCAGGGATATTGGACCATTGTTTATAGGGACACAGCACATCAAAATGGGTGCCGAATGCACTACTGCACTTTATTTATGCTTAGACAACTCCTAAGCATTCACCTGTCACACTAGTCAGACTGAAAAAGAAAACCCATTCACAACGCCAAGTTCATATGCTGAAAAATATCTTTTGGGACTCTCTTCAAGAATGGGAACATGATCTTCCTCCTTTCAGAAGACTGAGGTTTAAGATTATCTCAAAAAATGCAAGGCCTTTATCTCTCAATTAAACCATTCGTCCTGCTTGAAGAGTCAACAGGACTCTGCAAAGAAAACCAGCACCTTGGTGATAGAAGTTTTTCTTTCATCAGGATCCCACAAGGAACATCTATGGGATCCTGGGTCTGCTACATCCACTGAGTTTGAAAGGACACCCCTGCAGCTGTCCTTCACAAACTACTCTAAGTGTAGCTTGCTTTATTCTGAAGCACTCAGAAGACAACAATTTCCTTTATTTAAATGACTGCCAAAATACTTTAGCATTCTTAATCTTACATCCATTGTTAATAAATCTCATATTCATACAAGTTATTGTTGGGGGTTTTTTTGAGAGGCGCTTTTGCTGCTCCATCGTATCATTAGCAGCAGCTACCAAAACTGCACAAGACTAGGTACATTCAGCTGTTAGAAACAGGATTTAGTGGAGCAGGCATTTTTGTGGTTGTTTTCTTGCTCCATCCCCTTTAAGGCAGATATGTCTGTTATCATGAAAAATTATTTAGATGTCTTTCACTGAAACTGATAAAAATGATAAAACAAAGTGCAAAATAGTCATTGACTTAAAAGAAGATTCCCTAAATTTTACCTACCATTATCTGAAAGGCTTTCTAGCAAAACCTGGTAAGCATTCATAGTCAGCAATATCTGACAACAAACGGGACAGGTGCTTCACTAACTAATAACAATAAAGCTGTGGGAATCCATGCCCTGGATCACCTCTCCTCAGGCAAGTTCCAGTTATTCCTCCTTTTGAAAGGTATGGTGAACTCCCAGTAGAAGAAATAGATTACTTGTATCTTCTTCAGTAATAATGATCCAAATTTCCGGTAGAATTAGGACAGATACTGAACAGTTATGAATAGAAGATTCATGATGCTGGTAACAGAATTTGTGGTCTCCTTTAAAAATTCTTGATTCAGTATTATCCTAATCTTCAGATCCTTTCTGAGATTCAAAAATGGGAAGAAGGGCTCTGCTGAAGAAACAGAAGATGCTCTACCAACCCTGTCCCACACCTCCTGAAAAGGCTTCCAAACTTCAAATGCAAGAGCTAGGGGGAAAGGAAGGTAAAATAAATGTTATCACTCTTTCAGAGAAAAAGAAGGGAAACAACCAGTGCCATAACAAGCATCGGTATCAAAGTAAGTACCCAGCTTTCAGTACTAGAGCAGTCACTGGTTTTAATACAACAATAAAGTAAGGCAGTGCCCTTCCAAAGGGACTGAAAATCAGCTGGATATCTTTCTTGCTGCTGCTTTAACTGGAGAAACTCCCTCTCCTGGGAACGAACCCTCTTCCTCCTGAAAGAATCCAGTTCTATTGCTCTATTTGAGTAAAGGCTGTTCTTGTGCATGGAGACCAAGGTCTAAAGGGAGCTGGGACTTGGGTAGCTGGGACGTGGTACTACTGGACACAGCTGGAGGCTGTTTCAAGAGAATTTGCATAACTTGAAATTGATGCTTTTACTAACCAGTCAAAAAAGAACATTTCAAATGCTGGCTTCTTTAGATTTCAGAGATGCATGGAGAAGGATTTGTAAATTGTACATTTACTAGGGTACTAGATTCACCCAGAACACACAGGCTTGTCACCTGCAGCAACTGTTTTCTTGTAAGAACATGTTCGAGATTATAGACATAGCATAAAATAGATGAACACAGAATAAGGAGGATGCCAAATACACTTTCTGAAGATTATCTGAAAACCATGCGTAGAAATTGTAACAAGGAGAAGCCTAATTTAAATATGCACACTATTTTTTTCTTTTTATTTTTTAACAGCCTATTATACTGACAGTATAATATCTTCTCAAAGAAGAGGTTTTTCAAGCTGCAGTGCACATTTTCCACTTCAGGCAGTAAGAAGAACCTGGGTAGCATTTCAGAGCTCCAGTTCAAGAGATGCTCTGGGTACACACCAGGCACGATGAGCACTCTGAGCTTAAGCATGTGCTCAACAAGAGTAAAAAAGCATGTGAAGAGCAACGTAAGGATCAGACATTTCTTACTCATCTCCTTCATTACTTCTCTGAAAACAGCTATTTTCTGTGAGATGCAAAAATTCAGCACAGGAGTCCTTACAGAGAAGGGGTGGGATACTATCATAACCAGCTACAAGTCCGTGAAGACAAGAAGCTTGAGTGACATTGCCTTACTCTATGGATATACTGCTACTTTTAATAATAACTGTAGTTTTTTTTT